AAGCAGATTTTTGCATTGTGATGATCACAAAAAATCTTGTTTGTGCAAGGAGAACATTCTGCAGGTTCTAAAACCAGGAAGTGATTGAAGGAATCTCAAACTTTATGTGAAGATGAACGAGACTCAATCCTAGGAGACAAGCTTAAGTTTTTTTAAATTTCATTCCTTTGATTCTTGACAGTTGGCAGGGTTGCTCTTGGTCTAACTTATGATCTCCAAAATGAGGTAACCGTTCTGTAGTTTTCAGTGTGATCTTTAACGTGGGTAGATTCTGTCCAGCTCTCTTTTTCTGTTGTTTTGAGTTTCTGAGGTATATCTGTACACTAAGGCTAAGATGAGAAATCCAAAATAGAAAATTCACACAGATTTCAGTTTGAGTTGTTATTTACATACATATGCATAGTGGATCCTGTCAAAGATGAACATAATTGTCTGAAATGAGATCTTCTCTGTAAAACAATAGGAAGATGGGGAACATCAAACGTTAATTAACTACTCAGCGCTGCTTCACGTTTGATTATTGGTTCTGCGTGAACAGTTAACTTGAATGAATGCTGCAGGTAGCACTTGTTAACCCTCACTCTTCTGGTTTGAACTTTGCTCTCTGGAACTGTGGTACATACATTTGTATATGTGGTCCCATGCTAATAGAACCCAATTTAATGCATAGTTAGAAGGACTTTTCATTACTTCTTGCTTTTGGTTTTATGGCTTCTTAGATTTGTGACACCCAGCTTAATATTGAGTTGACTTTTACTATTATAATTCATGCCAGTAAAAATCTGTTAAAATACAAAATTACCACAGGATCCTGAGTCCTCAAATGGCTAATATGAAAAGTTTTGGATGAAGCAGGCATGTTGCTGAAGGACACGGTGTATGTGTTTACTTTCCAGCTGATCACATAAATATTGTCAAAATTATGCTCTTAATATGATTTGTGACATTCCATTAACAGTTACTCCATGTACCAGAATAATAATAATAACTAATGATTCCCAGACTCCCAGAATTGTAAAATAAGGACAGACTCTGTTTGGCAGAACAGATACCGTGCACTTAATATGGACAGGAACTGTTAATATTAATCAAATGAGGTATAGTCTAAAATGACTTCTGGCTAATGACTTGTTCTCAGGCTGACCGTGCTACTTGCAGGTAACACGCTGTTCTAATTCTGATGATTACTAATAATTGCATGCTAGATACATGGTTTTCTGTCCCTCAGAAAGAGAAATGATGTTCTTCATTGACCTTACTTTAAGATGTTACTGTTGAAATTGTGATGTTAGGGTATTAGATGTGGGACGGCAAAAAGTTCATGGATTTGCCTTTTGATTTAAGCTTTTACAAGGACGGACGTGCGAGCAGTGAATGAGTTCAAAATGTGAATTTAATTGTGTGACAGCCAGAACTTAATTATTCAGAGCTTCCTTAAGATGACCAGTAGTAGGAGTTAATAAGTCACACTTATTTCACCTTGAATATGTGCTGTTACTGTGATGTTTTCAGACAAATTTATTTAAGAGGAACAGAACTAAGATCCTCCTTATTTCTTAACTAATTCCATAAGTTACACTGAGGGATGGAGAAATAAGTTAAACTGGGAGATATGACAAGATTGATTCTGTTTTCCCTGAAGAAATAATGTCTTTCTTGGGGCGCTAGAAGCCATCTTGTGCTTCAGAAGCTGCTCTCATACTAAAACAGCCTTGAGGAAGAAGAGGATCCCAGAAGGGAGTTCTTGTAATGCAGAAGGAATCCAGTCTTCTGGAGCCAGCAGCTCGATGCACTGCTGTGCTGGGAAAGCCTGGTTTCTGTTGGGTTGAGTCTCCTCCTTTAATGTATAGATAGGCTTTAAGTTGTAGCACCAAGATATGATGCACGTGTATGAGCAAGTTACCTCTTCTTAGTGGCTTTTTTTTTTGTGCCATGAATGTAGTTTTCTATTCTCACTGCTCTTTCTGTGAGCAGTCCTCATATGCTGTTGCAAGGTGAGGTTTTATCTTCTGAAAGAAGCTGCTTTTTTTTTTTTTTTTTTTTGTGGTAGTTTTCTGAAAGAAGCTTTTGGCTAGCTTCAGTGGGAATAAAATGTGGTTTGTGGTCGTCTTATCTACATCTAATTAAATGTAAGGAAATAACATTTTAAAAACTAATTCAGTGTTGACAGGACAAAGAGAAAGATGAAGGACATGAAGAGAGTCTGTCTTGAATACATCTAATTCTGTGTGCACACTGCTATCTACCAGGAGAATTAAACATGATCATAGCTTATTTATGATGATGATGCAACCGTATATAGAGACATTTATGTAAAATCCTATGGAAGCTATTAAAAGTTGGCCTTATTTAAGTCCAGGAATAAGTTTTTTTTATTATTATTATTTCAGCACAAGGGTGCTACTCAAACTTGTATCAAAATGACCAGTATTGCAAATCAGAGGCAGTGTTATTTTTGGTACATTTGCCTAGGCAGCATGTCTGGCCAGCTGCGGGCCTGATCCAGCATTCACTGAAAGCTGACGAAAAAAGACAGCTTCTGCTAATGCTTATCGTGAGTATCTACGGGGTAGATAAATTTATTCTTATCCGTGCATGTTATACATATATGCAGTATATGTAACATTTATGTACACTCCAGCTCGGGCTGAAAATCTTGAGCTGAATTCTAATCATGATTTTGAGACAGGTTAAGATATGGGTGAGGTATTTTGTTGTTTCTGCAACATGAATGACCTCCAAGTAGGAGTTGGTTATCTTTTTAAAGACTCTTAGCTGTAATATGTGTATGTGTTTTGTAGACAGGCAACATTTAAAAGCAAGAAAAAGCTGCATTTTTGTCATGTTTCTAATTTACAAAGAACAGTGAGATGCAGTAATCTAATTTATCTGCATATGGTGTCACTGTTTGTAAGTAATAGAATACATCAGATGCTCTGATGTGTATGTGTGAGTATACTACTAGTGGGCTCAGCTAATGGTGAAACAGCTTCAGCTTGTTGAGGAGCTCTTCATTTTGTAGAAGTTGGTGAGTCCTGCACCTGATGCTGAACAGGAGATGATCAGAATCCATCAAGCCTATTTCTGCAGACTGAGAGAATACTTCCTGGTTCTTTACATGGTAGGAAAATTCATCCCAGAGATTAAGATTTTATACAGATAATGTTTATCTTTGATTGTCCTGTCCCCAAGTGGAGATAGCACCCATCAGCTATTTACAGTAAAACTGATTCTGTGGTTATTTGCATTTGATATTCTTAAGTCTATTTGACAAAGACTAATATATATATATATATATATATATATATATGCACACTAATAGAGGAAAAAAAAATACTTTTTTCCAATTGCTAGAGCTGCTTGTACATCACATGAAAAATGATTTAAAAAAAAAAAAAAAAGCAAGGACCAACAAACAAGCCTGGTTTTCTGATTGTGGAGTGTCATGGGAGCAGGAAGACGCATACTAATATTTTCATACTTGAATATGTAATAATTCAGGTATAGTTTATCAAATATTATACACTTGTAATTTTTTAAAAAAATAGAGTTTTTCATTTCTGAAATTGCCTTTTAAAGAAGACAAAGCACGTTTTTCTCACGTGTACCTAATTAAAAGATTATACTGAAATATGTGCTAGAATTGCTTTTGTACTTCTGGGAAGATTTGAGGTGGTAGGACAGAGGCAACATTACTCAAGTAATTTGGAGCTAGGAGTGAGCTGAGCATGTAGCATGTAGAACACGTTATTTTGGTTCTAATAACCCTATGTATTAGGGGACATGCATTAGCAATAAGATCAAGTGGATAGGAAAGATGCTGAAGACTTTTCTCAGCATCCATTAAGAGCAATTTGAAGTGGCAAAATTCTTGTATACTGACTGACTCAGCTTGCAGGAAGTAGACAATACAAAATGGCAGAATTTCACAAGTGGTTGCATAAAAAAAAAACATTCTCCCTTAGCTGGTGACAGATACAACATTAACTTCCCGCTTCAAGTATTTTCTCTGAATGAGATTTATTCATCTCAGGTTTTTCTTCTCATCTAAGAAAACATTGTTTTCTCCACTCTTCCTGCCTCCTCCAAATTCTTTTATCTCCTCCTCCTTCTTGAGTCATGGATTAATCTCTTCCTTAAAATATTTTGCATTAGCTGTTCCTCCATCCCTGTGGATGAGTGGGAATTGCTACATTATTTCTGTAGACTAAAGCATCTGGTTTCTGTTCAAAATATTCATTGATTTATAATGGATAATGCCCTAATGTAAGATGGGTGTGTGTGTGTGTTTTTTCTTAGAAGAGGTTGTGGGAGGGAGATGGTTCCCACTTCCTTGGTACTTTCTTACTTTTTCCTGTACAATGATATTTGGAGGATTCTTCTCAGGCAAAACATGGAGAAAGATGTGTACAGCATTTTGAGCTAATAGGAAAATGAAATTACTTAATGAAGAAGGATCTTTTTTAGCGGTTGGACTTGATGATTTTGAAGGTCTTTTCCAACCTGAGCAATTCTATGATTCTATGAACTAATGCTTGTATTACTTGGATAACAATAATCTTTCTGTAAATGTAATGTGATAAGATTTCAAAATCGTGTGACAGTGCATTTGCTTTAAGCTCTCTTTCTCATGATAGCCTTAAGAGTTAATCTTGCACTGAGAAGAAATTTGTTTAGTTAATGCAACATGGCTTAAAAACAAGGCTAAGTAATAGTGGTACAGACTCAGCAAAATGTTCAGTCCAGGTGCCTCTGACCTGCATAGTTGTCTAAGAGGTTTGTTAACATATAGAACCCTTTCTTATGCAGTGAAATCATTGGATGTCATGGGTTGGAAAGATCATCTAGTTCTGATGCCCTGCTACAGACAGGATTGCCACCTGCTAGATCAGGCACTAGATCGGGTAGCCCAGATGTACTTACTGGCTCTGGTTATTCGCTGAAGTTGTGTGGTATCCTTAGGAAAAAAGTCTTCTGAATCTTTTCTGATGCGTTAACTCTGCAAAGTATTAGAGAATACCATGCTACGATGGACTGAAGAGGCCTGAGTTTTCTGAGGCTTACTAAATGACTTTTTTCTTTCTAGATTGTGACCTATGGAGAAGAATACATAAGGGGATAAATATGGCTTTTAAGGGTGAGGACCACTTAGATTCCCTTCCTTTACCTGTTCAGCGGTAAGTGGAACTCTTTTCACACAGACTTACATGACTAAATGCTGCCAAAGCTACTTTTTACTTAGGATCCAAAGCTGAATAAAAGACTCATTTTTAAACACATTCAAGAAATGTGTTTACGTTCTCCCTGGTAAATCATGACAGTAAACATGCAGTTACTGTTTTAAATGGGTGAGCTTGTTTGTGGTACAGCAATGATAGTTTACTGGATTGGTTCTTTGTCATGATGGAAATCTCTAGCACTCCCTCTACTCTGAAGACTACTGAGAATTATAAATATAAATTTACTGAACCTCATTCACTTCCTCTACTTGTAGCTGTGATACTGACATTAAAGTTTCAGTAGAATCTTGCCTGTCTCCTTGGGTGACTGGAAGTACTGGTGGCTCTATTAATCAATTGAGTTTTAGAATCTGGCTCCAGATTGACAGCTAGTATCGGTAGCATAGTTTCACATCTGTGATAATGGAGGCTTCATGGGAAGGGAAAAATGGTTAATGAATACAATCATTCTGTGTTTTCATTGAGCTATGGTCTTGATATGTAGCATAATTGATTTTATGGGCTGCTGAATACAGGGGTAAAATCAGAAGCAGGAAGGATTGAAATTTCATTATTTTTCTTAGTTGTCATCAGGTCAAATTTTCTTTCCTGCAATCAACTGGCTGCTGACGTGCGTTCTCAGAATACAGGTCTTTTTTTCTCAACGAATTTTGGTGTTTCTCTGTTTTTCACTATCTGAATCTTCTAGCAGATATTTTGATAACACCACTGGGCTTACAGTTGCAGAAAGACAATTTGAGTACGCTGTCTTCTAGAAGAAATGTTGGGTGGAGGAAAACAGTTTGGGGATCCCAGATACGAAGTAAATGAGTACCATATATTGGATTCTATGTATTGGAAACCAGTGAGTCCTAGAAATCCTGGGTAACCAGGTGTGAACTAGACTGGAACAAACAGAAATGAGGTATATTGTCATTCATTAGTTTTAATTTTTATTCCATGGGATGAAGCTGTGGAATATTGCATCAGTGGTGCACAGCAGTGCCATCAGATTAATGACTTGCACTTGGAAATGCTCTGATCGGATAAGGTGCTAGATATCTGCGTTAATTTCTTAGTAGTAACTAATTGCTTCTGGAAATTGAATTGTAGTTTAAGAGTAGACCAACTGCTGTGCAAAAACTTCCATTGCAAAATGGACCAGTGAAGCCTCTTGCAGAAAACTAGATGAAACTTACTGAAAGCAGTAAGACCTGTGAATGTCAAGGGTTGATCCAAGTTGATGGTGGCAAACTTTTCTTGTGAGTAAATGAGGATATTAGCTGCAGGCTGCCCATGTTAGTGATTGGAAATGTGGAGAAGTAACAGTGCATACGGTGCTCACATGTAACAGCACAGAACTGAAAAGTTCTGAAAGTTCTGAATCTGTAGGCTAGAAACTGCTGAAAAGGGAACCTGCCTGCAAGTCAGTTCTGCTGGGTGCAGGGAAGCAGGAGGACTCCACTACACTATGTTTAAAAAAATATGCACCTTGCATTGACTCTTCGCTGTATCTTATTGCAAGTTATGTGGGAAAAGTCTCATACAGCAGCAAGTGCTATGCTCTGGGGGAGTGCATGGCACAGCAGGACAACTGTACATATGAGATCATAAAATAAGTAAATACTCTCTCTTGTCCCCAGGTGTTTCAGTATAGCTTCTGAAAATTGACTCTTTACTCATGTCTTTCTATTGGAACTGTTTTTCTCATATTGCTGGTGAGTTTTCCAGGTGGGAATGCTTATGTAAAAGAAATGGTCTTTCTCTTAGGTCCCTGTCCTCCATTTCTTTGTAATAAAAGTTCATCAGCCTTTTTGCTTTGAATTAAAACAATGTACCCTTTTTTCATGGTAGTTATGGTTTCTTGCACTTTCTGTATTGCTATATTAAACAAAAATTAGCAGTACTGAATCTGAAGTCATTCAGCTAAAAAAAAGTGCTCATAATAAAGAGCAAGATAGGATGCTGGTTTTGTTTTCCTGGATTATATGTTCTGTTCACTCTTGTAACTGAGAGAAATTCAGTACAATTAGTGCTTAAACTACAAAAACAACAAAACCCATAAATACACAACTTCTCAAACATAGAAGGATTCTCCATGGAAATTAGGAAAGTGAAACAAAGGTAAAGTTATCTTGCTGAAAAATGTTGAAATTTGCACTATAAAACTGGGAGGCACTCTTGAAAATGAAGTGATAGCAGTGGCAGAGCAAGTCTGTCTTCCTGAGCCTCAGAAATGCAATACTACTGAACTGTTCAATACACATTCTGAACATCCTTACAGTTTTAAAAATGAAAGATAATCCTCTGGGTTATAACTTCAGCTTGCATAGGAGCAAAGGCAATGTTGAATATTTAAAATCTTGTTTTTTGTTAAAAGTGAATGCTCTGAGGACCAAAAAGATGAGCCCTCCTAGGTGATAAATTTAGAAATCTTTTTCTTAATCACTGTGCTTCAGATGAAGAAGGTGAGGCAGAGAAATCAGACAAGTCTTTGAACTCTAGGTACATGTAGTTAAGACCTCTGAAAATCAATTCCTTGACTTGATCCACCTGAAATCAGAACGATTTGCCGTAAAGGACTTCTGTGGCAGGGCCAAAATTAGAATCCAGGTTTCCTGTCTCCCAGTTCTTAACCAAATGTCAGTTCTTCCTCCTTTTGTTACGTTCTTCCTTTTTCCATTCTCTAAGGACCTGGGATCTATGAAAGAACAATATGAATGAGGTCACTCCATGCATATTTATAGCCTTGCTCTGCTCTTTAAATTGCACCATGTTTCTGCAGGTGCTCTGAGAACTTCTCTAAAGTATCTGCTTAGGTGTCCCGTTACATAAATTAAGACTTTCATGCCCCTTTCATGCCCTCAACTATTAAGCAATTGTTAAAGTGGCAATCAATTCTGGAGAGATCTGGATTTCTTTCAGTATGCATTCTGGTTGTTGTTTTTTTTTTACCCTAAATATTTTTTTTCCTTTAACTTCTCACAATGTTATTTTCTGTTTCTGCACAGTAAGTAATGGTGGCTGGAGATCTGCTCACTGCATGTGCATGCTTACCCTCTGAAAGGAAACAAGCCTTGACTACATCTAGACTGTACACTTTATCAGATACTGTGATATACTGAATGAGTGAGGCTCATGCAAGGACTTAAAAATAAATCCTGTTATAGAGACAACTTTAAAGTGGAACAAAGAACGTATTCTATATATATATGTGTGTGTGTGTGTACCTTGTAAGTCAATGCAGAGTAGCAGAGTTGTAATCATAGGAGAACTCAAACCTTTATTTTCTCAGCAGATCTTGTGGACTGAAATATTTTATGAAGGTGGGCAGTGATAGGACAAAGGGGAATGGTTTTAAACTGAGACAGGGGGGTTAGGTTAGATGTTAGGAGGAAGCATTTCACACAGAGGGTGGTGACCACACTGGAACAGGTTGCCCAAGGAGGCTGTGGATGCCCCATCCCTGGAGGCATTCAAGGCCAGGCTGGATGTGGCTCTGGGCAGCCTGGTCCGCTGGTTGGGAGCTCTGCACATAGCAGGGGGTTGAAACTAGATGATCATTGTGGTCCTTTTCAACCCAGAGTTCTGTGACTCTACAAATATCATCTTGTTACAGGCTGCAGGATATTCTAGATTAATTGTTCACAGGCTTTCAGTAACCAAGTGGGAAAGAAACACTTCTGAGGCTATCTTCAGAATTCGAGGACCAAAGCATTCCATCCGTGAAGTGGTGGAACCATGTCTTTCATAACTCTAAGTACTCTGCTGCTTGCTCAATAAGCAAAGAGCTGTTGATAGAAATGATGCTAAAAAATTCTGGGAACTGGAAGAAAAACAATTGGACTGAATCACTAATTTAACAGAATATTTGTCAGAAGTTAAAAATTGAAACTTGCAGCAAGAATTCTTTTTTTTTTTTTTTACTCCGGAAACTGCAATGATTCTACTTGGTTTTTCTCCTCAATCAAGAAAACAAACATGCAGGCTTTCATGGAATATAGAGGCATATTAAGATGAAAAATATAGAAATTTATAATGGATTTTTTTTATAGAAGGGACAACTTCAGGTGGGAAAAAATGTACTTAGCAAAAAATTTCTAGTAAGGAAGATAGTGTAATGATCTTTGTAAAGCAAGATGCATTTTTACCTGCTCAGGGACTGAATTATTTTAAGATCTATGTGTTGGATTTTACTTCAAGACTGTGCTCCAGTTCATCATTACAAAATCTTGCTTTAATACAAATGCTTTAAATGCTTTGTCTAATCAGTGATTTACATGTCCTTGTGCTACTTAGACATCTTCTGTAAGTGCTGAGTCTTCCTATAGTATCTGCTGCTAATAATAAAGGACTTGCTCTGTATTTCTGGCTTTTCCCCCCTACATCATGAAAGTGAGCTTCCTGCCTGATAAACACTCCTTGTGAAGTGAAAAACAACATCTGTATTTTCTATTTATATTTTACATGCTGCTTATTGTTGCAGATCTTGTCCTACTAATTTAAATCCTACACTTTCTACAATCAGTTTTTATTGGGATGACATCAGGAACTTGCATGTCAAGGCTCTCTACAACATTCAGACAAACACCTAAGAAACTCTAGAGAGTGAATGCACATTATCTGTGATACAGATTGAGAGTTGAATATTTTTTGGTGTGCTTCCACAGCTCTAAGAATTTCTGCTTTATAAATTTTGAAAAACCATTCAAGGATATAATGCTTTCTATGGAGTTGAAAACAGTTTTGGAAATTTTTTTTTTTTTTTAATAGTAAGCTCCATGAACAGCATGCTACAGAAGAGAGAAGAGTGCTCTGCCAATGAAGCTATAAATAATAAATTTAGCTGTAGCATAGTTCATGGCATTAATGATACCTCACATAATGACCTTGCGTTCTTTTCATTTCACTTGGTTACCTTATAGCAATTCAGTAAGGAATAATAGCTTAAGGAAGGG